GGTAGCTGAGCCTGCTCGTTGTTTTGCTCCCTGAGAATCACTGCAGGTTTTACTTTTGGTTTCATGCAGAGTAGCAGAAACTGTTTTTACTGTAATTTGCACATATAACGTGCACTCCGATTTCCAGCAATTATTTTTTGGGGAAACTGTGCATATTGTATGTAAGAAAATATGGTAGTTTGTCTTGTAGTTCTGAAGGTTTCACTGAACTAGTTCTTTTTGTTCAGTGGTTCAGGTAGTTATAAAATGTGACTTCATATTTAAAATAAGATTTGTTTTGTAAGGACATCACATCACTGACATGATAACATATCTAAGTACTAGTTTATTATGCTTTGCTTTATAGTTTGCTTGCTCATTTCTGTTATTTTCATTTCATATTAATAACTGATCAGATTCTTAATTTTAGCAACTGTCTTCTGCATATCACAGTGCAAATGTTCTGCAAAGTCACAAACATGCTACTTTCTTTACCACAACAAATGAACGAATTAAGAATGATATTATGCCTAGTCCAATTTTGTATGCATCACCTTTTCTTGCTGAATTTATTATTGAATGAGACCAACTTCTTGGCTAAGTACAGACAGTCAAAAAGCCTGAGCCTGAATCAGTTCAGTCTTCGCAGGTTGATCTAAGCTATGTAGATCAAACTGATAAGCAAGTGAAGAGACATTCACTTTTGATTTCAGAAATACAGCTACATGCCTGCAGTGGCCCAGGCCAGAAGCTGGGGGTTGCTTGAGCACACCTCCCAGCTGGGCTGGAGCAGACAGCTTGGGCCAAGGCTAGCCTGCCCACCTAGCAAAGGGGGCTTGCAGGGGCGGTGTCTCCTGGGACACTGGGAAACTGTGAGTTACCTTGAATCTGGAGGGGAACTGGGACAAAAGTTCAGTAAACCAATTTAACCTAAATCAGTTAAGTCTGATACTACATCCATCCAGGTTTATCTTAAGCCAATCTTGGCCTTTTTGAAAGCGGTTTATGTGCACTGAACTTGTCCCTAGCCCTGTTTTGTTACAAATTTGAATCAGTTTCCCATCACTTATACTGGTTTATGTGTAATTTCTGTCCCTAGCCCTTATGACCTGCAGCCTTACTACCTCCACCACTGATCTTGTTAGACCTCATACATTAAGAAGCATCCAGCCTCGTCATTATTTGGAAGGAAAGGCAACATAAGGCAATGATGGTGATTTTAGGAGAGACACATTTTCTTATGAGTCAATGCCAAACCAATTTCCCCACACATTTTTACAGAGCACTGAGATACTGAAGGCTTCATGGCAATAACGTTGATGTGGCTCTTGCATTCCACACCAGAGATGGCTCTGTAATAATTATGATTTAAGTGCTTTTTATAGATGCAATGCAGATACTTTATTACTTGATTTGATGTGAAAGGCACTGTATAAATATAATTGTTCACTTCATGTTTCTGTTTTATTCAGTTTGAGAATTTAGTTTTCTATGCACATGTGAAGTTATGCAACTACATCAGTAGTAAAACTCACTCTGTGGTTTTGTACCTAATGAGATTATCCAACACCTAGTAGATTTTAATGTAAAGAAAGATTTGGGAATAACACACTGGGCATAATTATTTCTGAAGCAGCAGTGCATTCAGCAAGTGCCCTAATTGTGTCAGCATTGCAATAGCTATAGTTTAATTTATATTTTGACTGAATCATAATGTTAAAGAAGCATGCAGTCTGACTGTCAGAGAAGTTATCTGCATGTTCAACTCTCAGTTAATTATCTAAAAGGCATAAAAATAATTTTTAACATGTTTTAAAAATCTAACAGTCATTGTTATGTAGTATATATACAATTAATTTAACAGAAACAAAAGTCACTTTGAGATTTTGTTTATTGTGTCTGCATGGGAGATGCACAGGATGTATTTGTACCATAACGACAGTGGACCTTTTCTCACAGATAAAGGACTGTTTCGTTTGTTTAATGGAGGCTGGGCATTCTTAATACTCTTGCCTGTTAATGATTTGCTTTATATTAGCACTATATACTTGGTTAGTGATTCTTGTAATAAAAAATGTAAATGTCTCCTTCCTTTTGAAATAAAAATGTAAATGCCCTCTCCCCTTTTGCAATGCCTGGTTATCTTTAAATGCTAGGATTAAAAATATATTGACTTTCTTAAAGAAAATAGTAATTGTTCTTCAGTTCTGGTGTTTTTATCTTTTAAAGTCAACATAAGTAGAACAGGAGAGTACCAGAGCTGGTATAAACAGACAAAGCTTCACAGATTTTATAAATGGACTCATGCCATTAAACTGTAATTTAGGAAGGCCTAAATATACCATCTACATTTCAAGTGTTATTTTTGGTTAAATTTGGTTAAAAAAACCCATATGTAATATTTAACAGTGTTGTATATGTTTTGGTTTGTTTTCCAGTTTATGATCATATTGTTTTGTTGTCAGTATTATTTATTTTTAAGTCAACATAGATAATTTCTGTAAACACTAAAAAATTATAACAACAGTTATGTTGATTTGCACTTTCACTGACCTCTTGCATGTACTTTAGTTCATTTCAACTTGACAATAAACTTCAGTCTCCAGTATTTGCAGTGGCAAGAGTTCTGTGGCTTTCTCAGATATTTTGGGGACTGAGAGTGGCTGTTCAGGATTGATGAGGCTCCTTTTGCTGTTTAGGGCTGGTTGATGTTCACTGACTAGTCTAAGACTATTTATTAGCAAACTGGACAGCATCCACATTTCAAATGGTGGGAATGTGAGCCTTCTGATTGGGTATTTGTTCTATGGTCATTTGTACAATGTAACCAATATGATCAGCAAATAACTGACAAAAGAACTTTAAAAAAAAAACTTAGGAGAAGGTTTTGTGTTGAGTCCTACTTTTAAGATTTGGGGTTCAGATAAAGAAATATTATTCTTCCATAAGTTTTATCTTAAAACTTGTCCCTTTATAATAAATCCTTTGGTCTTTCTATGTAACTACTGCCTACCTTCCTCCTTAGTTAAGTGGAAAGATGGTCCATTACGCTGACCTAGGACTGAGAAGACTGTGATTAAATCTGCAGTTCTGCCTTTATTTCCTGTATGATCCTGAGCAGGTCACTTTTGGCACATCTACCTAGTTAGAGTGTGAATGTGGTTCATGTCAGCTGAGCTAGCTTTAAACCTGTTAGCCTATGTGTTGATAGCAATTAGCCAAGGGAGTGTTGAGCCCAGCAACATCTACCCAAGAATGTGGGTAAATCTCAAGGCAACTAGTCCATACTAAACTCTGTATTGCTACAGACACAATGGAGCTGACACCAAATCATCGGAGTCACTGAAATTGACACATCTGTATTTCACATGCAATAGATAAAGTTACATCGAGATCAGTATGTTTGTGTATAAGGGAGAGAGAGAAAGGAAGTGGATTGTAGTGAGCGTGAATTGAAGGATGAGAAGAGGCTTGAGAAAGACAGCTGTAGATAAGACCTATAGTAAAGTTCTGATCTAAGATAAGGATCTGAGATTGTGTGGGAGAAAAAGGAGGAAGGGGAGCGAAGACAAATACATGTGTAGAACACTGGAGAAGCGAGGGAGAAAGACGCAGGAAAATGTGAGCAAGAAGAGTGGGTTGAAGTATGAAGAATGATAGAAACCAGGAGAGACAGTAAAAAGAGAAGCAGCTTTGATTGGAAAATGTTGTAAGAATATATTTGATATACTTGTGAGCAGGGGTGTGCGAAGCGGGCAGCATTCAATTCAGATTCGGCCCAATTCGGGGGACAGTGATTCGATTCACTTATTTGGATCGCTGTCCTGATTTGAATCGGGCAAATCTGAATCTGAAGATTTGATTCCAATTTGGAGAATCAGTGATTCAGTCATAGAGACAGCTTTATATGTTTTTTCTATGTACCTCAAAGTACCAGGCACAACTCATGAACACTGATGGTGGGGCAAATGGAGTATCCCACAGGAGCACTGGGGGGCCCCCCCATGCCCTCCCAGCTTGGCAGTCAGCTGCGAGGGGACCCCAGGTGCCTCCCAAGACCCAGGAGGCACCAGTTGCCAAGCCAGGGGGCAGTCCCCTGTACGCTCCACAGTGGACCCGGAAGTGGACCAGAACTACTTCTGGTCCACTTCCAGGTCCACCGCCAAGCACACAGGGGACCACTTGATGCTCACATGGGATGCTCCATCCACCCCGCCACCTCAGCATGCATGAGCCATGCCTGGTACCTCAAGGTATGTAGAAAAAACATATAAAGCTGTGTCTATGGCTGAATCATCGAATCTCTCCAAATCCAATAGGAGGCTTCAGATTCAATTCAGAGAGGTTAATGGGTCTCTGGATTTGATTTGGATTCAGAGATTTGGCTGCCAAATTGGGCCAAATCTCCTCTGTATCAAATCAGCGACTGAAGCTTCACACAGCCCTACTTGTTAGGTTTATATTAGGTATACATAATGCACATAAAAGTGTCCATTGATTGGTCATACTCCAACTGTATTCATCCGGACATGTAGCTAATTAGGACGGTGCAGACATCTGTAATAAATCCCTGGTACAATTTGCATTTTATCTTGCATTATATTTGATGAGAGATGAGAAGAGAATGGTGAGCACTTTTAGTCATATATTTACAATACTCACGTAATATATATTTTGTATAAAGCAAATAAGGCCTGGTTGGTGGCAGGCAGGGACAACTGCTCACAATGCAAAATATGGTCCTTTCATTGTTGCTTTAATCTGCCATACCTTGCCAATTTGTTTCACCAACCTGTCACACCTTGCCAAATGCCAGCTTTATAAGTAGCCATATTATAAGATATCTGAACAGCAACCTAGATTGAAAGGATCTTGAATCCTAACTGAGGGGCTGTACTACAGTGACTTTGTGCACTATCTTTTAATTTACTTGGTACAGTCTTCAAAATGAGTCTACAGTCTGTTTTTCTTTTACCGTCTACTGAAACACGTGTTAATAATAAATATTTTTCCCTGTCTAGCTGTACCCCATAAAATAGGGCGGATAATTGATGGAAGTCCTGCTGACCGCTGTGCAAAACTAAAAGTCGGAGACCGGATCTTAGCTGTGAATGGCCAATCTATTATTAATATGCCTCATGCAGATATTGTGAAGCTAATTAAAGATGCAGGTCTTAGTGTAACACTTCGCATCATCCCTCAGGAGGGTAAGTGTAAAGCCTAGAAGGAATGTTATGAGCCTCCAATTAGTTTGAATCGCATCACTATTTCAAAGTGGGGGTTTTGTTACACATGCACACAGCTAGGACATGCAGGATGTGCAGGTTGTAAATGCCCCAGCATTCTCGGACTGCCTGTCTTGAGAATGCTTACTGGTATATCCTCAAAGCCACTTTAAAGCAGATACATTTACCCACTTGGGCCTGTAGTGCATGCTAAGTGGGCAGGGCTTGCTTCTTTGTGGTGTTCCCCAGCTCATCACAGAGGTAGAGAAAACAAACCCTAAGTGACTCACAAGAAGAAAGGAGTTGGTTCTGCCCAAACTTTCATGTTCTGTTTTCATGTACACCTGTGACTGCTAAATGGATGTAAGTTACTATCTTGGTACAAAGAGGGAATTCTCACTGATCACATTTTGCAAAGATCTGATCACACAGCATGCAAGTTATGGGAGAAGTAAACCCTAAAGTATTTGGGTTTTAGGATTGAAACTGGACAGACTCATTATTCTGGGCATCACCTTACAAACTAATCAGTGGAGTTACTTTGATGTTAGCTTCATGTTTCTTGATTTCAAAGAGCTGCAGTGCCAATATATGAAGTCTGCTGCATTAATGAGATTGTGGTTTTAAATCCCAGTTTCAGAATACCAGTGTGGCTAGGAATGTCAAATACAAAAAGCAGCGTGATTACTTGCTGATCTGTCTTCTATTTAGATGACCTTCACCTCTCAGCACTATTACTTTAACAGCCACTGAATATTATATATGGAAATTGGCAGTCACTGGCCATGGATAATAGCTGCACCAAATTATCTGCTTCACTAAATGTATCCAATGCAAAGAAATACATATAAAAGTAAAAGAACAGCAAAGTTCTGCTCCTTTAAATAGTAAAATTTGTATTCCGGTTCAAATTTGCTCAGACTTGTATTGAAAAAGTTTTAAATTTAGTGAAATACATTACCCAGAGGTCAATTTTATAAATATCTACACAGATGTGTCATGTAGTATCTAATCAACACTGTTCAGTTAAGTCATACAGGCATTTAACAATAATCCAGATAGATCCAACTACAGTAGCATAGGTTATCTTAAGCAGCAGAGAAAGCAGAGGCACACCTGAAATGGTTGGGTGCTACAAAGGAAGGGGGGAGGGGCTCAGGAGCAATTGCTGAGAACAGATTAGAGCAGGGACAGGCAATTATTTTGCATGGGGGGCCGCTTACTGAGTTTTGGCAAGGCATCGAGGGCCGCATGGCAGGCAGCCCAGGACAGATTAATATTAATTTTCTAAATTTTTTAGGGGCCCCGCAGGCTGGATAGAATGGCTTGGCGGGCTGCATCCAGCCCACAGGCCGCATTTTGCCCACCCCTAGATTAGGGGTTAGAACATAGATGTCACATGGCTCAGTTTCCTTGCTGTCTCACTGGATGACACTGGGCTTAACCTCAAATGTCAGTTTTCCCACTTATAAAACAGAGATAATATCCAATAGCTACATAAAGGAAGTGCAGACGTAAGTGGCTATATAAATGCAAAACAGTAGTATTGTGTGATTTGGCTACTTTGTCTATAATTGTGATTTTCTAGAATAGACTCAGTGGACCACATTTTCAAAACCTGCCTCTAAAATTTCAAAGCATAATGAGATCTGCACTGTAAATCATGCTGGAAGTGCGCCCTGCAGCAGCTCCTTTAATATTTTTCATTTCACTGCTTTCCCCGTCCGCCCGATTGGCGAAGGGATCCCACCAGCCAAGCCATTTGCCACCGATCACCAGGGAAGCGAAAATTGTGGCATATTTAAAACCATCAATGGGGTATGCTGGGGGCAAACAGCTAAATGAAAAACATTAAAGAAGCCACTGTGGGGGCAATTCCAATGCGATTACAGAGACCTCTAGCAATTAGACATCTAAGGCCCCTGCCACACATTACACTTAAGACATCCTAAGCTGCGACCCAGCCATACAGTCACTCAATTAATCACATGATGAAATGAATAATAAACCACAAAGTTATTCCACAAAAAATATATATCAGCTTTGTGGATGGTTCCTATCATGCCATTAACAGAATGTGTGGCCATAGGTGGCTGGAAGCTCTGTCAGCTGAGGGGGTTCCCAGTTGTAGGAGCTCACTACTAGCCAGGGCAGGAGGAGCCTGGGATCATGATCCCAGACTTCTCCTGCACTGGTAATAAGGCATGAAGGGATCTGATGCATAATCTCAGAATCATGCCTCCTATCGGTCATGTGTGGCATGGTAGGAAGTACGATTGTGTGGATCCTGCATTTGATCCCATCACACCTTTTACCTGCATGTCTGGAAGGGCCCTAAATATTCCATCAGTATTGATTGCACCTGTAAATTCAGGTTCAGCCCCAAATTCTTGGAGTGCAAACTTCAAGACCTTTTTCAACAAATTGGCAAAAATTAAACTATCCCCAAGAATCCAAACTTTTTAAATGATCATAAAATAAGTGAGCACAGCTAGGAAACTATATAGATAGGAGGTAAAGGTTAGAAATCTGGTAAAAATTAGAATAATTGAAAGTGCTAAGGAGACCATAATCAGATCAAGCCCAAGACCAAGATCTCACATGCACACAAGCCAGGATCGAGCTCACAAAACACACACATACAGTTTTAAATTAGGACTCCTATTTGTCCAGCTGCAAATGGGAGCAAGGAGTCTAAAGGTGTTTTGACCAACTCCCTGCATTATGAGAAGTAGCCTCTGGAGCTGCTGCATTCCCTTTTACACTTGTGGGCAGAGCTACACAGGTTGTTTTCCCTAGGTCATCCATGCCCATATCTATTATACTTGGCAGCTGGCATAGCTATGCCACTATGCTGTAGAAAATATGCTGTGGCTTTGCACAGGCTTAGCATATTCTTTTACCCCCAATTTCCAAAGCAGGAGAAAACCTGCACTGTTCATGGCAGATCCCCTTTCTAATTCTCTCTTTGTCTATTGTGTTCTGTTCCCCACCTTTCATCTTCATTGTCTTTTCAGATGGGAGGCTGCTTGGGAAAATGACCCTGGTTTTCTACATGTATCTGTAGAGATCTTGGCATGTTGCATGCTACTGTGAAATTAATAATAGTTGTAGCTGGGTATTTTAAATGCATCTAGATTAGTTTCACTATCCATAGCCCCAACTTGCAAGCTCCTATAATAAGATTAAACCTTTCTCTAAAAGGGTCTATGGGAAAACATTAGTTGACTTGAAAAAGAGCAGGAGAAGCCACAAAAAAATCAGCATTTTAGATCTTGTTGCAACAGTTTGTCATCCCATAACTGTAATGAAAGCAGTAAAATTTTTCATTCTCCCCAAATGATAGTTTCCAAATATCAGTATTTCTAGGCTTTTAAAAGAAACTATGAAACATGGAAGCCATTTACCCAGTTTGATTGGGTTTTAAATAACAGATGTGTCAGCTGGAGTTATAGAAGTGACCAGGATTCCAGATCTCAGGGAATATCAAATGAAGCTTAGTCGGTTCAGAAGTCTTCAAATCTAATTATAAGCCAAGATAATAAAAGCGACAAAACGTAAATTTTCAGAGGTAGAATGTGACAAAAAATGATTATTGTCTACCTTTGCCCTTTATTAAATACCACATGGTGACAGCTCTTTAATCTCCAGCTTCCCATTATGCAGAGCTGAACAGTCCAGCTTCAGCACCAAGCTCAGAGAAACAGAGCCCCATGGCACAGCAGCACAGCCCGATGGCTCAGCAGAGTCCACTAGCACAGCAGAGCCCAGTAGCACAGCACAGCCCTGTAGCACAGCCACCACCTCCACAACCACTCCAGTTACAAGGACATGAAAACAGGTAAGAACCACTGCTCCCTATTCTGTCTCCTTTAAGTCCAGTTTGAGATCATGGCCTAAGTGGTCTCCCGTCTGTTTCTAACTATTGTGATCTGGGATGTTGCTTGTTGGCAACTTTGACCCAGCATTCAAGTGGTAATATGCATAGTATAGAATTAAATTTAAGCAAATTAAAGGGCATTAAAGTGACATGCATTGTTTGTCTACAGGTAAGAAATATATCAGCCTAATCAAAGATCTAGCAATGCTTTCCTAAAATGAGATGTACCATGTTCAAGTGTAAGACCCTCAGAATGTATTTTTTGCTAGAAAACTGAACAACATGATAGTATCATTTGCTAATAACTTCATCCTAGCAAACTTTATTTTTTGTTACAAAACAGGTTTATACCTATTAAGCTCACAGAAATGGAGACTTTTTAGTAAATTTAAGAACTAACCCCCCTATCTTCTGTTAAATAAAACACTGCTGCCAAGAACATATTTTTCACTTACAGCAGGCTTTATCTACAGCAAATCAATTTCATCCAGATGATTTTTCCTATTTCATGTATAATTTATGTGTACATATTGTGACTGAATGATACAGCAAATTAGGGAAGAATTTTGTGACCAGCTACTTTAAGAGCAAAATGTATTTAAAATAGATCTAGATTGAAGAATAACATACTAGTTTGTACATTTTCTACTTTCCAGTCAACACTCTTTTATCCTTAGATTTATTTTTTTCTTGTCAAATAAAGCTGATTATACTACCTGCCCTTATGCTCAACTTGACAAATTAATATATGTCCTTGGCCCATAAACAGTAAAGGCCATTTCTAGTATTTCTGCACTCTGTTTGATAAAGGAATGATATTCAGTTTTGCCTTTGGTGTTATGCACTATAAGTTACCTGTGCTTAATACTCCTATCATATGAACCAAAATGCCTACCTCCAATATTTCTACAGGTTTTAAGTTTATTTTTCTCATATTTCATTAGACACCAAACTGAATTTGCCCAGTTCTCAGAAGATCCGTGCTTCTCACGAAGTCTAATCCTACAACAATTTTCAGTCCCACTTGGGCCAACTTCATCCCAGTTATAAATGTCCGCAAGATTGTAACCCTTCTTTTACATATGAACTATATATATATATATATATATATATTTTAATTCTGAAAAGTTGGCTTGTCCAGCATTTTACTGGAAGTCCAGTAAAGTATGTTTGTTAATTAATCCATTAGCATAGTCAACAAGAGCTACTGGGGATTCAGTTTGTAAATAACTGCATCATCCTTTAGAATACAGATATGCCAGTTTATTATGAACACCGTATTAGCCATTGTCTATAATGGCTAGTGTCCCAGGAAAGAAATGTGTTATTATTAATTGATATAGTATAGCATTTTACTAGCTGTTAGTGTTCACATGTTGCAATGTGTTTATATAATTATGAACCTAGAAAGGTTGTTTTTCTTTGTCATCCAAGGTTAACACACTAACTAATGTTTAAATTTATAAACATTATTTTTTTCTTATTAAAAACTTATTAAAAACTCACTATTATAATAATTCTGTATTCTACATTTTTGCTACAGGAAATCACTATACTAAAAAGTAAGGAAGCTAAGATTGCAAATAAAAAAGTAGATACTATCATGAATATAGTGTACAGATTTTGACAGTACATATATCAGTATATATTTGCAGTCTTTCAGGAAAGTCTACAGGAAATAAATAGGGTCTTTTATTCCTTTTCTTTATGTGTCTATTTGGAAATATAGCTAATAATGTCTAGTTTTTAGGTATTACACTATAACAATGATGTTTCTTTGTTGTAGTTTAAAAAAGAGACATCAACAACACTATAAAACTTATTTTGATGAAGAAATAAGCAGATACAAAATAATGCTCAGCCTAATTTCAGCTGCTGAATGCATTCATTGGTGTCTTTTTTCATGGAGGACAGTGTGGACATGATTTCATTCAGTGCATCAACAGCTTGCTGAAGCTAAGGGCATCCTGAAATATACATCAAACAAATACAAGTGTTAGATTATGAAAGAGTCTACTAAGTCATGATTGTAGTTAAGTCAAAATTAGACACCTCTTACAGAAGTGCCTGAACAGCACATTCAGGGCCTGCTTTAAGGCATGTTCAATATGTTACACAACTAAAGCATTTAAAATGACATTATGAACTGGATTCCTTTTTTCTTCTTTAAGTAGAGCGCTATATAATAATTCACCAATGCCCATTTGGATAAATATGCGCTGCTTGCTTTTCTGAGGAAGTATAATTTCTTTGGAAGATTGTAGGCCTCAATTTCTTTTATCTATTACCAGTTAAAACAATGTTTTATACATTATTAAATCCTCATTAACCAAAATCTGTTTCCTCCATTCATAAATGTGTATTGTATGACACGTCTACACTCAAGTACTACCATGACTTTCTAGGAACTGCTATCATAAGATTTTTTAGTAAGTAAGAGCACTTAATATTCCCTATATTAATGGCAACTATATCAAATATTTATTTTTATTAACAACATAATGGCTGGGCCAAAGAACATGTCCTTTCCTGAATTTAAGAGCTCACAGTAACAGTAGCTTATCTCAATAAAATACAGAGGCTGCAAATGTCTACATCTCTTTAATATTTTAATACTTCACTTCCTCTATGCAATCTGAGTTCTGGAACAAAGCACTAAACAAGCAAATGTATTCTTTCCCTTTGTACTATATTTTCATACATTAAATTTAGTCTTTGGGTTAGACAAGGTAACTGGGTCCTGTTTCAGCCCCTGCCACATTGAGCCTAGTCCTGCTCCCATTGAAGCTGATGGAAAAATTATGCTCAATGGTTTTGGCAAAGTCACCTAGCCACAAATTAGATAACTCAATTTTGCCCTGGAAAGCACAACTCAGACACAGGATCTGCTTCTCTATGAAGCCCAGCTTTATACAATTTTACACCTGAGTAGTCTCCTTTTAACCCTTGATATTGCATTTCATGCCTGCTTACAATTTGTTTTAGCCTCACACCACTTTCTTAAAGTATAAAGCACCAAAATAATCCTTCTAACTTACTCAGTTATAGGTCAGAAGTAAAAGCAAGACAAGATGTGAAACCTGACATCCGACAACCTCCGTTTACAGACTACCGGCAGCCCTCAACAGACTACAGACAACCTCCATTAGACTACAGGCATCCACCAGTAGTGGATTACCAGCAGCCACCACCTCTGGACTACCGGCAGCCACCTTTGATAGATTATAGGCAGCATTCTCCTGACACCAGGCAATACCCTCTCTCAGATTACAGGCAGCCCCAGGTACAAGCCAAAAGAATTACGCAGTTCAGAAAGTGCAGATTTTTAATTCATCTTAAGCTTTTTATGCTGAATTAGTATCTTGTTGCAAAATAAATTAATTCCTAATTCATTAATATTTGTGAAAAGATATGTAATATTTTATAATGCTGTAGCTACACCTATAACCAGGCCTTTTTAATATATATCGGAGAGTTAAAATACTTGTGAGAAAACCCACTTTCCAGAAGAGCCCTATACCAACCATGCAAATAGTCTCTTACCACAGGCAAAGCCTTAAAGACTCAATCTCACCCTAACACAGTAAACTCTGTGGTATATCCAGACCAGATTTATAGATTCATAGACATTAGGACTGGAAGGGACCTTGGAAGATCATCAAGTCCAGCCCCCTGCCCCAGAGGCAGGAAGTCAGCAGGGATCATAGGATCCCAGCAAGATAAACATCCAAATGTCTCTTGAACACGTTCAAAGTAGGAGCTTGAACCACCTCCGGCGGGAGTCTAGCAGATAACTTGCAGATAGATAGCAAGTCTATGTAATACTCTATTGCTATAGAAAATGAAGATTATTTCAAACCAGAATAACTACAAAGAGCTTTATAAAAGTATCAAAGGGATACTGTTCCTTATTCATAAGATGATTCTTGTATGTACTTGGACTTGCTGTGAATAATCTATGCAAATCAAAACTTGTTGTATGCTAATTAGTCAGATGTCTGTTTTCACACCAAGCCCAATCTCACAACCTTCCAGAAATAAGCTTTATGTTAGTGGTTTCATTAATGTGAATCAAATCATTCTCATGTATTTCTAATGGATGTTAGGAAGGCAGGGTTGGGACCAAAACTTAGATTTAAACAAATGACAAAAAGTGGGTAAAAACTGGCTTAAAAATATGGCAGAAAGATTATTAAATCAAAAGGCACATGGTCTAAATTTTTGGAAGCCCTCAGAAAACACAACAGACCCAGAAAGCTCTCATAGGCTTCACTTTAAGGGACATGGGAAAATGTAAATACCTGTTGACTTTGTAAAAATCATAGTAATGAATCATTTGCATATGATAATTGAGTAATTCAGTACTCACATAGATGTGCTGTAGGGTTTGACTTAACACAAAGAAATCCATACATATAGTCATTTGGTTTTTCACTTTGTTTTTACCTATATAGGATTTTGATTATTTCACTGTTGACTTGGAGAAGGGAGCCAAAGGATTTGGATTTAGCATTCGAGGAGGAAGAGAGTACAAAATGGATTTGTATGTGTTGAGGTTAGCAGAAGATGGGCCAGCAATAAGAAATGGAAGGATGAGGGTGAGTAATTTAGCTCTTTAGAAACAGTCATATGGCTTAAATTCTAAGAAATATTTTGCATCAGGATATTTTTGTGCAGATTGTGTGTAAGAAAGAGTTATATTTTGTGACAATAGAAATGAATTGTTTTCTTTCCTCCTGTCAAACAAGGGCAACCACTTTTCACTATAGAAAAGCATTGAAGAAATAACATTAAATAGACAACAAGTCTGTATCACTTTTTTGTAAATGGCTTAGGTCATCTTTTATTACTAATAGCTGCTTAGGGAAAGGCTTGGAGAGGGGTTGCATTTTCCTCCATTTTATTTAACTCATATCTGAGTATGTGAAACCCTGTCCTCCCCAACAAAGTGTTTGTTGCTTCCTTAATCAAAATATTGGCATAATCAGTATTCATTTTCTAGCTCAAATATACAGGTAAAAAGTAGTTGGGGCATGAAATAGTGTCCAGACACTCAGAAGAACTGGGCTCAGTTTCTGGCTCTTCCACGGATCTGATGTGACCTTGGGAAAACTAGTTTTCCTCTACTTTCCCCATCCCAGCCTCTGCTTGTTATGTCTATTTAATTGTTAAAATCTCTCCAGAGAGAAATATTTCACTATTCTCCTGTACAGCAGCTGGTACTACAAGGCACTAATTTCTGTTGGGGCGTCTAGATGCTTATATAATAAAAAACCCATCAGTCCATAAAATGTGAAAAAATTGCAACATTCATTTAGAAAATTATACAAAATACAACTTTACTATATGTAGGAGGAATAATTTGACAAGAAAGTATGTTTTTCATCCTTCCAGCTATTTGTAGAGAGTCACAATAAGCTTTAGATTTGCCTGTAAACACCAGCAGTTTATTGATGGAAAAAAAATGGGGGGGCGGGAAGTCAACCAGGCTAGTTCAGTTAAAATGACTAACCAGAAACAGCTTGTAAGCTTGTTTCACCAATATTATTATATTTATTCACATACTATATACATCTTTTTCCCAAAAAATAGCTTTAAGGAAAGTTCACAAGCTGTTTCTGGTCAGTCATTTTAACTGAGCTGGCCTGGTTTGACTCCCTGTTTCCTGCCCCCCACCCCACCCCTTTTTTTTTTTTTTTG